GTCCTGGGTTCTAGTACCTCTGAATGGTTTAGGTTTGCCCTCCCCCAGCGTTCTCTGTAGTGAGATTATCTACTGCATGCTCTGGAGCGCTATTTGCACTGATGGCAGTGTGAAGGACCAGACCCCTGAAGTTTTGCAGTGTGAACCCCAGCAGTAACACCTAGGGCCCCAGCCTTCAGTACCAACCTGTGCAAATCAAAACACTCAAATTGTTGGGCAATGGTATACTTTTAATAGCTCATAATAAAGAGAGAATAATAAAAAATATGTTGAGTCATTACTGTGAGCCAGACTTAGTAATATCTGCTTGTTTTTCTAGTGACAGTGCGGGGAGGGCCACCCCATTGTGTCTGTGGGAAGCAACTACAGCAGCCTCCAGCCACCTGCTGTCCCCTCCTGGGTCTCTCCCTTGTGTCAGGATGTCACCCTGCCTTGCTACCTGGGGTCAGATTGACCTTGCTGCTGGGAAATGGATGGCAGCAGTAGTGAGGCTGCTTTGCTTGCCAGTCCCTCCTCTGTCTCTTGCATCCTTCTGCCCCTGGCTCACTTCTGCAGTGAGGTCTTTGGTGTCTTCCTTGTAGGTTTCCACTTCCTGGCCTCCCTCTTCTGCTCTTCCTCCTCCCACTCAGCCAGATGTTGGTGCCAGATGCCCTTATCAAGTGGAGCTGTGATCTTCCTCTGGCCAGAAATCTTCTAGGAATTCTTGTCTCTGCTGGATTCTTGATTCCATGTTCAGCCTAATTTCCCTTATCTCTCACTTGGGTCTCAGTAGAGGAGCTCCATGCTGCAACTCAGTTGCTCTTCCCACACTCAGCGCTGTTGCCCTTCTCTCCAATTTCCTTCTCCCTCTCCCCTGAATACCTCATCCATCCTTCCATCCCTTCTCAAATCCTTGCTTTGACTCACTCACACACCAAACCCATTTGGAGTACCTCCTGTGAACTGGCTGTACTGTCTGTCTGTGGTAGGTCTTGTGGGGCTTCCAGAGCAGGGTGGTGAAAGAAGTGACAAGGAATCACAGGAGGG